GTATAGGTACATATATATGTTTATATATTTTAATATTTTATATATATGTATAGATATATACATATATCCATATATATCTATATATATATATATATATAATATAATGTATCTCTCTCTATATATCTATATCATATATACATACATTATATTATATATATATATTCATATCTATATTATATAGATCTTATGTATATATATATAGATCTATTATGTATATGTATATGTACATATATATGTTTATATATTTATATATTTATCTATAGGTATATGATTATATAAATATATACATATATATACGATAGATATATATATATATATATGAATGATATATATTATATATATATATAATATACATACATGATATATATATATATATGTATAATAAAATATATATATATATATATATATATATATATATATATATATATTATATGTTATAGATATTATAGAATCTATATATATATATATATCTGTATATATTATGTTGTATATATAGTCGGTGTATTTATTTATTTATATATTGTACATTATCTCTATATCTATATATATCTACTATATCTCTACTATATATATATATATATCTATATATATATATATATATCCTCTATCTTGTATATGTATTCTCTCTGTCTCATATTGTATGTTCTTTCTTTATTTCTATATTGTATCATCCTCTCTATATACTCTATCTATATATTCTCTTATCTATATCCTCTCTATCTCTATATCTCTCTCTACTATTCTGTGTATATCATTATATATCTCTACTCTTATATCTATCTCTCGGCTATCTCTATCTCTATATATCTCTCCTACTTATATCTCTCTATATCTCTCTATATTTCTCTATCTCTCTCTCTCTATCTCTCTATCTCTCTACTCTCTATCTCTCTGTGTATCCTGTCTCTGTCTCTCTCTATGTTTCTCTCTTTCTATCTTTCTATCTGGTTCTCGAGCTATCGAGCTCCCACTATCTCTTATGCTCTAGCTATATCTCTCTATTATCTCCTATCTCTCTCTTCCTATTATCTCTCCTCTCTCTCTCTCTCTCTCCTCTATCTCTATCTATCTCTATCCTATCTCTCTCTCTATCTCTCTCTCTGTTCTCTTCTCCCTTCTCTCTATTTCTTTCTTTCTATATCTGGTCTATATCCTATATCTGTCTCTCTACATATATCTTATATATCTCTATATACATCTCTAATAATCTATATATATCTCATCTCTCATCGTTTATTGTTATATCTACATCCTCTCTCATATTATATCTATATCTATCTATATCTCTATCTCTCTCTAATACTCTACTCTATCTATCTATGTCTCCTATATCTCTCTGTCTATGTATCTGGTCCTCTTATCTGTTTCTATATTTCTCTATTTCTATCTCTGTATCATGCTATTCCCTCTTACATATCTATCTACTATATCTATATCATATCCTATATGATATATAACTCTTCTATATATATATATCTCCCTACCATCTCTACTCTATATATATATGCTCTCTACAACCAACAATTGTTCTCTCTCTCTATCTTCTAAGCTATATCTCTATCTCATATAAGGTATATGTATCTGTACCTCTCTAGGTTTTTCCTATATTTCTATCTTTATATATAGGTATCTTGCTACTCTCCCATATATACCTCATCTATACTCTATCTATCTATAGATCTCTCGCATTCTCTCTCTCTATCTACCTCTCTCTATATATCTATAATCTAATATCCTATATATACTATCTATTCTATCTCGATATATATATTTTTTTTTTTTTTTTTTTCTTTTTTTTCAACAGCCATTCATTCCACTGCAGGACATAGGCCTCCCTCAATTCACTATTGAGAGGTTATATGGCAGTGTCACCCTTGCCTGATTGAATGCCCTTCCTAATCAACCGCGGTTCGGCGCGTTAACACTTGTGCCACGGCGGTGACTTCCCCTACGACACCTGCGTTTGACTTCTCAAGCCGATATGTCGTTTTCTCGGGCTCGAGCAAGCAGTCAGAGCGTAGGCATTTTTTACAACTGCCGCGACGGGGAATCGAACCCGGGACCACGAGGGTCGGAGTCCAGTGCTCTAACCACTGAGCTATCGAGGCAGTATATATATATATATATTTATATATATATATACATATATATATATATATATATATATATATATATATATATATATATATATATATATATATATATGTGTGTGTGTGTATGTATATATATATATATATATATATATATATATATATATATATATATATATATATATATATATATATATATATATACACATATATACATATATACAAATATATCTGTATATGTGTGGATGTGTGTATGTATATATCCCCAATGTGTTTTTCGTATAAAAAGAAAGTAAAAAATGTGGGAGATACTTTTCTCTAAGGGAAGAGAAATATTTGCCACTTCCATCAAACCAACTATAACTATTTAAGTGACTCTGATTGGTGCAGAGGGAATGCATAGATCGCTCTCCGTTTTTCCCTGATTTTACCTCGTGATTATAGCGTGGTGAAGATGTTTTTCTTTCTTTTTTCTATTTTTTTCTATTTATTTATCTATTATCGAAGACGTTTATATTTCCCAATCCGTTAGTGTTTCATTTTCTCTATCTTCTTCGTTATTATATATTTTTTTTCTTCTTCTCCCATTTTCCTCTACTCAAAAAAATAAGATAAAACCAAAGAAAAAAAAAAAAATGTGCATGAAACTGAAAAATGATTAATGATAATCATGCGGAAAAAAATAGCAACGAAATAAACAATAGAAAAGAAAAGGATGAAAGGAGAGAGAGAGAGAAAAAAAATGTAATAATTAAGTAAAGAAAGAAGGTGTGAACGATGGAAGGAGGGAAAATAATGAAAAAAGGAAGGAAGGAAAGAGCGGAAGAATAAAAAAAGATGAAAGGAAGGAAAAAAAGAAGAAAAAAGGAATAATAAAGAAGGAAGGAGGGACAGAAAGAACGAAAGAACAAAGAAAGCAGGACTGAAAGATAGAAGGAAAATCCGAAAAATAGATGAAGAAAGGAATAAAAGAAAAAAGGAATGAAACATGAAAGGAAGGAAAAGAAGGAAATAAAAATAAGAAGAGAAAAAGAAGAAGAAAGAATGAAGGAAAGAAAGAAAAATAAGGAGAAAAAGGAGGAATGAATGAAAGAGAGAAAAATATGAGGGAAAAAAGGGAAAAGAAGAAGAAAAAAGGAAAGTGAAAAGAAAAAAGGTGAAAAGAGAAAAAAGAATGAATGAAAGAAAGAAAGAAAAAGGAGAAAAAACAAAACAAGAAGGAGGAATGAAAGAAAGAAAGTAAAAAGATGAAAAATAAAAAAAGAGGGAAAGAAAGAAAGAAAGAAAGAAAAAAAGGAGAAAAATTAAAACGAAAAAAATGAATGAAAGGAAGAAAAAGAGAGAGAGAGAAAAAAAGAAGAAAAATAAAAAAAGAAAGAATATGATAAGAAAAGGAAGAATGAAAGAAAGAAAGAAAACATAAAAGCAAAGTCTCTTTTTATTCCTCCACAGCCATCATCGTCTCTGCTCCCGGAGTGACTGACGATGTTTTACTGCAGCAACGAAACGCAAGGACAGTGAGGAATGGCGGACGCTGCATAAACATGACGATTCTTTCGCTGTCTATCTCTCTTTCTTTCTTTCTTTATTATCTACTTCTTTATTTACGTTTGTTTTTCACTGTCGCTTCTTCCTTTTCTCGTTCTGTTTTTTTTTATTGTGTCTTTGCTTTCTCTCTCTTCTTTTCTTCCATTCTTTCTTTATTTATTTATTTGTGTCTGTCTCTGTCTCTCCCCAATTCTCACGTTCCGGCTCTCTGTATGTTTCTTTTTTTCTCCCTCTCTGCCTCCCTTCTTTTCTCCCTCCCTCCATCTCCTCTTTTTTTATTCTCATCTCTTTATTTTCCTTCTCTGCCTTTCATTTTATTTACCTTATTATTTCTCTTTCTCTCTCTTTCTTCTTTCCTTTGTATCCGTCTATGTCTTTTCCTCTTTCTCCCGTTCTGCCTCCCTGTCTGTTTCTTTCTCTGTCTCTATCTTTCTCCTTTTTCTCACTCTCTCTGTCTATTGCTCTCTCCCTCTCCCACTCCCTCCCTTCCTTTCTTCTTGTCTCTCTGTATCTGTTTCTTTCTCTCTCTCTCTCTCTCTCTCTCTTTCTCTCTCTCTCTCTCTCTCTGTCTCTCTCTCTCTCTCTCTCTCTCTCTCTCTCTCTCTCTCTCTCTCTCTCTCTCTCTCTCTCTCTCTCTCTCTCTCTCTCTCTCTCTCATTCTCATTTTTTTCTATTCCTTCGCCATCATTCACACCTTGTTTTCGTTCCTCCTCTTCTTCCCCCCTTCATTCATTCACACCATTCAGGCGAGGGAGATTGCGTAGAGAGGATATGACACACGACCACCATAAATTAACGGAGAGGGAGAGGAGGGAGAGAGAAAGTGGGGGCGAGGAGGAGAGGAGGGAGAGGGAGAGAGGAGGGAGAGGGAGAGAGGAGGGAGAGGGAGAGAGGAGGGAGAGGGAGAGAGGAGGGAGAGGGAGAGAGGAGGAAGAGTGGAAGAGAGAGCGAGGGGAAGAGGAAGGAGAGAAAGAGAGGAGAAGGAAGGAGGAAAGAAGGGAGACTGGTAGAGGGGGAGAGAAAGGAGAGAGGGGGAGAGAAAGGAGAGAGGGAGAGGGAAGAGAGGGAGAAGGGAGGGAGTGGAGGAGAGGGTTCTCAAATCCAAACGCACAGGTACCAAGAGACAGTATGCAAATACTATTACTACATCCCATATATAACGGGGTAAGTGTATGGATGTATGGATAGATAGATAAATAGATATATATTGATAGATAGATAAATAGATACATATTGACAGATAGATAAATAGAAATATATTGATATATAGATAGAGAAAAGAGAAAGAGAGGGATGGTGTATTAGTATTAGTTATAAAACAACAACAGAGTAAGAAAAATACAACGGTATAATGCTACTCAC